TACATAGAAATTGGGCTGGAATTACTTTAGAATTACATTTAAAAGTTGAATTGGCTGGGGGTTGTGGCCCAATGGTAGAGTATTAGCCTAGCACACTCAAGGCCCTGGGTTTGATCCCAGTATCCTAAAAAAAAAAGTTAAATCACATAATAGAAAAGTCACAAAAGGATACAACAACTGGATAATATGGGGCCTTGTATTGGATTCTGGAACAGAAAAAGAGCATCAGGGAAAACTTGATAAAATCTGAATAATGTTTACAGTTCAGTTAATATTGTGCTGATGTTAACTTCCTGGTTTCGGTAACTGTACTGTAGTTTTGTAAGATGATAAGACTGGTGTAAGATGAGTAATGAGCGTATATGAACTCTAAAAAAAGAAAAGAAAATTGTAATTGTCTCAAAAGATAAAATTCAACACCACTCACAATTTCTAAAAACCGAACAAACTAAGAATAAAAAAATATATTTTGATAGAAAATAAAGAAAACCCCAGGGCCTAGAGTAACTATCATGCTTAAAAGTGAAATAATGAAAGCTTTCGTCACATATCAGGAACAAGACAGGGATACAAGGATACATGTTCACACCACTTTTTTTCAACACTGTATTGGACATCTCAGCCAGTGTAATAAAGCAAGAAAAAGAAAAATGGTAATAGCACTTGGAAAGAAAAAACATGCCCATCGTGTAAAATATCAGGTCTGTCTCTATATTAGTGATTACATAGCTGTCTCATGTTTGTAGATTCCCCACACTATACTGCAAATTAACTGCAATCCCAATTAAAATGCCAGCACATATTTTGAAGAGAGACTGCCACACCTATTCTAAAACTTATCTGAAAATGCAAAAGACCAAGATTAGCTAAGGAAATTTTTTTTTGGTACCAGGGATCAAACTTGGAACCTTGCACTTTCCAGGCAGGCGCTGGAACCACTGAGCTACATCCCCGGTAGCTAAGGAAATCTTGAGGAACAAAAGTAGAGGACTTAAATTACCAGATCTCAAGATGTACTAAGTCTGGGGCCGGGGATGTAGCTCAGTGGTGCTGTGCCTGCCTGGCAAGCGCAACGTCCTGAGTTTGTTCCTCAGTACCAAAAAAAAAGACATACTAAGTCTACAGAGTACTATTTTCGCAAAGATGACAGAAAGATCAATGGAGTAAAAAAGAATCCAAAAACAGACCCATACATTTACAGTCACTTGAAGAGGTGAAAAAGATGGCATTGCAATACCAATTCAGTGAGAAAAGCATGGTCCTTTTAATGAATTATGCTGGGTCATTCAGATATCCATGTTAGAGAGGAAAAAAAGGAGTATTGGCCTCTATCTCATATCATAAACAAAATCAATTTTGTATGGAAGATAATGCTTTTACAAGACAATATAAGATAGTGTCTTCACAAACTTTGTCTAGCAGATTTTTCTTTTTCTTTGGTACTGAGGATTGAACAGGACCTTGTGCTTGTGAGGCAGGTGCAAGGCCACTGAGCTAAATCCCCAGCCCAGTAGCAGATTTCTTAAAATAAGACACAAATCATTAAACATTACTGAAAAGACTGATCAAGCTACATTAAAATGTAAAATTTTTGCCTATCAAAAGATACTAATGAGAGGGTGAAAAGGCCGACAACAGTATAAAAACAATCTGGCATACATACAGTATATGTGCTCAGAATATATAAAAACTCTTTCAAATCATTAAGAAAACAGAAAACCCAGTCACCAAATGGGCAAAAGAAAATTCACAAAAGACATCCAAATGGCCAATGAACACGTTCAGAGAAGCTCTAGGTATGCATGCTGATTGCTCATGGGGAGCAGCAAATTCAAACCATGCTGAACCGCCCCTCCCACTAAATAAGCCACCAGGACAGCTAACATAAAAGAATGAACAATACCAGGTGTAAAGATCATAGCACATGCTATCTATCACTCCACGGTTCCACTCATTTTTGAGACAGGGTCTCATTATGTAACCTAGGCCGGGCTCAAATTCACAATTTTATTGCCTTAGCCTCCTGAGTGCTGAGCTTATGGGCATGTGCTACCACGCTCAGCTGTAGCTCCACTCTTTGGTATACATTCAACAAATGCGTGTGTGTGTGTGTGTGTGTGTGCACCAAAAAATGACACAAGAATACTCAGAACAGAATTTATAAAAACTGGAATCAAACCAAATGTCTGTGAACAGCAGAAGGAACAATTTTGATACATCTGTATGCTGGATTACCAGACAGATGAAAACACGGTATGAGACAACACAGGTGAATCTCACAAACAATGAAACAACCAAGAAACACAATAGAGGTATTATTTTTCTTCATTTAGTAAAGAAGAAGCAAAAATAATCAATGGTGAAAAATCAAGACCATGGTTAGAATTTAAAGTTAAAAGCAATTTGCATTTACCACCAAGTTCCGTTCCTGGCACTAGGTTGTTAAAAGAATTGGTTGCTAAATGAGGAGCTGTATATAATATGTACATTACAATACTGAGAACAAAGAAATGGTCAAAGGAAACTCCAACTTGATGACTTTGCTTTTATTTGCATAACTCTTCTATGCAGTATGTAATGTATACCAGAACATAAAACTAAAGTAATATACAGTACCATCAACAAAAATTACAGTACTATATAAACAAGGTGTACTGTGTAAAAAAAAGACATTAAGACTCTATAAACAAGATGTACAGAACTGTACCGAAAAAAAGATGGGTCACAAGTCTGAGCAGCAGGTCATAAGTCCAAACAGTTGTTAAACAGGTAGTTCATTAAATGAGGAACATCTGTACTGGGAATAAGAAGGAAGGGGCTTCCAGGAAGCCAGTTAATGTTCCATCTTGATCTAGAAACTGTTCTGCAAGGGTGTTGGCACTGTGAAAAGTTCGCTGAGATGTACAAGTCTTATCTGAGAATATTTCTGATATATGCGATAGTTGGCTTTCACACTGAGCTACAGTCTCTCATCCCCTTATTTTTTATTTAAGACAGCTGCTAAGTTGCTCAGCCTGGGCTCAAATTTCTGATCCTCCTGCCTCAGCTTCCCTATGGGCTGGGCATTCCAGGCATGCACTTCCATGCCCATCCTTTTACTTAAATTTTCTAAAGTACAGTACATTCTGACTTGACTACCTAATGTGTCAAGAGTACACAAGCGCTTAGTTGACACACCTGTCTGATCACACAACTAACCACCAAAGATGAACCTGATTCCAGGAAAGGAAAGGGTCCAAAACAAGTTTATTTCAGGGTTTCTGTGTTTCTGAAATACTGCAATCAGGTGTTCAGGTGGTGACGCAAGCTGTTGGCATCATCACATTATGCACACAACTAAGCATTTCCAGGCTGCCACACCGAGCAGTAGCCAGAAGCAAATCACCAGGCAACCATCTCACCAGCAGGTGTGACAACACCCACTGACTGAAACGAACTGTATAAAACTCCTATCACTTCCCTCTCATGTCCTGTGTGCCTATTCTTTCCAAAAACGACCTACTGAATATGTATGTGCCATATTAGATAAACACTTTAGTACATACACACCTACAGTATATACACCTCAAATTACATTAGAATCTATTACAAAAATAAAACCAAACCACAGAAATTTACCAACACCTGTATATATAAGAAAATCCTGGTAAAACATAAATTTCTCCCCATTACCTCTACCTACGCAAATAGAAGCTCGCTAATTCTTTTAATCTTGTCATAATAAAATCTGACCTGAATAAACTTTGTAATTTATAAGATTCCAATAAGAAAAATCTTAACATGGTCTGGGGATATAGCTCAGTGACAGAGAAGTAGACAAGTATGCATGAGGCCCTATTTCAATCCTCAGCACCACAAAAACAAACAAACAACCAACCACTAATGATTCTCTAACTAATAAAAGGAACATATAATACTAACATCAAATTATTGTTTCTAAAAAGGAAATTCAAATGTTTGGCTTATCAATCTTTCAGGAGAATTGACTACAGCCAAGAAATGCATTAGGGCTAGTAATTATTCATTTGATAATTTATCACTGCAGACCCATCATGAGAGTATAAATATATACTTGTTCCGGTCTATCTGAATGTACTATAAAGGCATCTATTATGAATAGGTAAAATGGCACCTAGACAGCTTATAAATACCTAAATAGTAACCTACTTATCTCCACTATGCTGTGTACCATTTAAATGTTTTTGGTTTTACTATGTTCTCCCTTCACCTACCCATTAAGTCCTCATTTAATTCCACAAGAGAAGGCTTTGAAACATTGGTCTGAATGGTAATATACTTCAAAAAAACAACTACGGCTGTTCTAAACTTTAAAATTCTAGCCTACCAAAGAGAAAGTTCCTAAAGAATCAATTTCCAGTCTTCTACCCCTCACTACAAATTCAACTTACAAAACACAGGTAATTCTAATAAAGATGGGCTATAAAATTCTTTTCTAGGGCCAGGGATTTAGCTCAGTGACATTGCGCCTGCCTCCGAAAAGTCCTGAGTTCAATCCCCAGTACCAAAAAAAAAAAAATTTGGGGGGGGGAATCAATCCTACTTGCCTACTAAATTTCATTAGAAAACTGGAAATCCCTGTGATATAATCCACGGGAAACACACATATAATTCCTGCGATACAAGCCATGGGAAGTCTGCATTAACCAAGAGACCTCACACAACAGAATGAAAGGAACCATGTAGCTTGGCTGTTGCTTTGGGTCCTTTTAAAAAAACTTCGAAATGCATTTCTAAATCTAGGAAATTCCTCAAAAATAGGAATGAGAGTAATAAAATATTTTCACATGACTTTAGAGAACATTAGTTTGTTCTAAGAAGTTTAATCCCCAGGAACTCTGCATGTGCTTACAAACACCAGACACCATCATTTCACATGTGGTTACACAAAATACTCAGGTAATATTAACAAAAGATGGTATCATAAAAAGACACTTAGCGGGGGAAAAAACCCTGTAGTTTCAGGTGAAAAGCACACATACCTGTGGAAGTGCGGTATTGAGCTGTCTCTGCAAGGAGTCTCTTTCATGACCAACCTCGTGTAATTTCCCCTGGGTTAATGCCAATGTTTCTTGAGTCTCTCTCAGTGTGTCGAGAAGACGATCCCTTTCTTCTAGCATGGAGACCATAAGCTGTTCAAAATGAGAATCTGCGTCTGGCTGTGAAGGGGAGCCAGATCCATGGCTTCCACTTCCTCCCGGGGGGCCTTCTGCTTCACTGATAGTGGGCATCACCTCGCACATCATCTCGAAACAAAAAAATCCAGACTAGAGTTACTAAGTGCACAATACAGGTTCCCACAAATCTACAACTTTATGAGTATCTGTAGCTAATAAAGGGAAGTTGACAGTTTCCTTATGCTCACATTCTTTGTATGCAAATACTCTGTGAAGCTATACACAGGCAAACATTAAGTGCAGAAAGGCACAACATGAAGACATTAAAGGAGACAACAATCCAGGGAAGAGGGAAGGGACAAAGAGAACTACCTACTATAAAGAACAAACCCTGTAAGGTTTTGTTTGCAAAGCCAGACTTTTTAGTTCTGAAAACAAGTGTGCTTCTGTGACTTATTTTTTTTCTATTTTCCCGGAGGGGGCACATGCCACCCAATCATTTTTCAGGAAAAGCACCGAAGGAGTATACAGCCAGGAAAACTGACAAGCACAAAATCCACCAGGCATCTTACAGGAATGTGTGCAGTCAGCTCCCTGAATTCTTGGGCTGGATTTAGTGAACAGTGAAAGGAATCGGATTCGCTAAGGCCCATGAGAGATGTTTTTCAATGGCTGCAATGGCTGGTCAGTCAACCCTAACTTACATAAGTTTACAGCTCAAAAACAAAACAAAACAAAACAAAAAAAACACCTCCATAGTGGAAATACAACAGGTCAATACAGTGGAGAACGGCTAGGAAGATAGACTCTGAGATGCTATTAAGTATGTCACATACACAGACGGGCCAAAGAAGGCGAAAGGGGCTACTTGAAGGCAATATTCTGGACAGGGCGACCCTCGATCAAGAGATGCCCACGACCACACACCTGACGGGGTGCTGCAGCAGCCCCGACCCACTTACCCTAGAGCCCGCCCGTATGCGGCCACAGGTGCGCGGCCACAATCCCAGAGCCGAGGTCACCGGGGCGACGGGTCAGGGAGGGGGCGACGCGCAGCGGTTAGAGCCAGTCCCTCGAGGTACAGGGGGTCCCGCCGGGTGTGCGCAGGGCCAAACGGCGGCTGGGGGCCGGATCTTCGCCCCGTCCGCCCCTGCCCCAGGTGACATTTGGCGCGCGCAGCACCCCCCCACACACCCCCGCTACGCCCGTTCTGCCTCAGTCTCTCGCTCCTTACCTTGCTCGCCAGCGGGAGCGGCGAGGAGGCTCCCTGGCGGCCCGCTCTAAGCGAGCTCGCGGGCCGACAAAGGCAGCCCGCGGCTGGTGTCCGCGCCCCCTACACGCGGCCCGGGCCCGCCGCCAGTCACGAAGGCCGGCCCGCGGCCGGACACTGGCGAGCGCGGAGAAGCGGGCCCGGCGGCGCGTCGCCGGCGTCAACGTGCCTGACGTCGGGAGCGTCGAGGCGAGCGTCAGCACCGCCCCGGGGGAGGGCCAGGAGCGCAGCGGCCCGAGTGCGCATGCGCAGTCTCCGCAGGAGGAGGTGGGCGGTACCTCCCGATTCTTGATTGGCTGTTGTGGCCTGAGCCCCGCCCTCCAGGCCCCCGCTCAAGCGGGTGTAGCCATCCGTGCCGCAGGTGGAAGCGGGGTTTAGGAACACGATCTTAGCTCCCGGTCTATCCTAACTCTTCAGCGATGTCCCAGATCCCCTTCCGCACCCTTGGGGACACCACAGGCCTTTTTTGGGAGTCTGCCAGGGACCAAGCTCTGATACTTCTCTAACGTCACGTCCACACAACCCTCCAGAGTGGGGTTAATTCCTGTCTGACCGAACCGAAAGCCGGAGCTTCAGCCACCTGCCCAGCCAGAGCCGATCCGAGCCCATCGAGTCGGCTCCGGGCCGTGCACGGAACGGTCCCTTAAGGCTGAGAAGCACCTGCTGTCTAACGCAAGATTCATTGCCCTACCTGCCCTACCTGGAGAGGCAAAGACGAGCAGCTTGTGATTTGGAGGCTCCTGGGCGCTGTGTCGGGGCAGAGGGGGCCAGCTTTGCAGTGAAGCAAACCTGGTTCGTCTCCCTGCTGTCCCTGCAGTGAGAGCCCGAGATTCATTGCCTACGCTGCAGAATGGAAAAATAATGAAAGACCTGCCTGCAAGGCTGTTAAAAATGGAACATGGGTGAAAAGCATGGGGACCTGCCTGGGAGGCACTCCGCAAGTCTAGGTCATTTTTATCTCTTTTTTTTTTTATTGGTATGTGTTTACGATATATAATAATTACAGTTATTTTGGAAAATTGGTACATATACATATCGCACCTTAATCATGTTTATCTCTGCAGACATTTTAAAACAGCAAGTCAGGTGTGGTGGCGCACTCTGGGAGGCTGAGGTATAAGGATCTCAAGTTTGAGCCTGGGCAATTTAGCGAGACTCAGTCTCAAAATTAAAAATAAAAATAAAGATGGGCTGAGGATGTAGCTCTGTGTGAAGGCCCTGGGTTCGATCCCTGGTATCCCCCTGCCCAGGGCGGGGGGGAGTGATACTGCTTGCCAGGACTTGTACTGTATCTTGCAGAAACAGATTAATAAATGTACACTTCGTAGATTAAAGTAGATGCTTCCCCTGCCCCAGGAGCACTCTTCACAAACCTAAATGTAGAGCATCTTTGCCAGTCCCTGCTAGCCATTGTTGGGAGTGGGGCAACCAGAGACCCAGGACCCCTCTCCATTCCAGAGATGGAAGTAGCCCAAGAAAGAGGCTCCCTGTCAAGGTCAGGGTGCAGCCTGATCTACTGGAAACATGAGGGTGGCACTGTGACCACACAGCCTGGGGAAGGACTGGGCTGGAAGAGCAATACAAGGCAGATAGTGGACAGGGAAGCCCAGAGATGGAAAACGATTTGCCCATACACAGGTGGGTCAGATAGTTTGTAGCAGAACTGGGGTTGGAGCCCTGGCAGAATCTGGGGCTCTTGGTTCCTTTTGCTGTCGCCACGTTTTAACAAAGCAATGGCCTCTTTAAAGGAGCACTGAAATGTTTATCAATGAACAAGTAAAATATTTATCAATAAGTCTTCTGTGCTGCCGGATTAGTCCAGTCACCAGGACAGAGAGAAACCATTTTACTTATTTAACTTATTTCCTTCTTCTTCTTCCCTCCCCACCAAGTACCAGGGATTAAACTCCGGGCCTTCACACTGAGCTACATCCCCAGCCCTTATTTTATTTTTTATTTTGAGACAGAGTCTCACTAAATTTCTGACTTGCATGGGCTGGGGTTGAACTTGGAACCCTTCTGCCCCAGCCTCACCGAGTGCAGGAATTATAGGCGTGCATAGCCTCACCTGGGTCTCATTTCTTTCTCAAGACAGTTCCCTCGGGGCCACTCCTGTGCTCTTCCCACTTTCAGCCAAGGAAACAGGTCCTATGGCTACTCAGCCAGGGCACTCCTGGATGTCCTAGCTCCACGGCAATTCTGTCACTGTAAGCCAGTTGATTGAAATGTCAGTCCATGGGTGAGCTTGGTTTGTTGTCTGTCCTGAAAATACAGACACCTCTGGATGAAGTGGTGATAAGCAAATTGCATTTGCAGAACATCAGACAAAGAGCCTCTTAGCCCTGTAATCCCACAAATCCTCACAAGTGTATCCTCCATCCTTTTACAAATGAGGATGCTGAGACTTGGGGAGATTAGATTTGTTCTGCACCCCACAGTTTATGATTTGGTGGACATAGGGGCTTGAACCCCAACCTCTGTGGCTCTGAAGCCAGTGTTCTTGCAGGAACAGGAGAAGCTCTCTCCAGGCCCTCAAAGTTGGGTCAGTGATGGGCCCTGATACCCACCGAGGACCTGTGGATCTGTCTCCTGCTGTCCTGTCTGAAATACTCCCCATTGCCCCCACACAACACAAGGAGCAGGGAGGGCACCTGCTTAGCCACCAGCACAGCCGGACAACCTCTGTCTCACTTGTGTGTATAATTATATTTTAATAGCAAGTCATAAGCAATGTGCAGCTTGCTTTTCTTGGCACTTCATTGTGTTCACCAAATGAAGCACCTAATAAAAATGTCCAGCTATTAGAGGGAGAAGGACCCAGACACTAGGCCCAGCCTCTCCAGACCTGTTGATCCCAACCCTGATCTGCTCTAGACCTGGGGCAAGTTTCTACCGTCTACTAAGCCCCAATCTGCTCATCTGTCCGGTGGGGGTGAAAACAGCCACACTGCCATGCTGGGATGTGCATTATGAGATTCTTCATAGCTGCACATGAGAGGTGACCGCTGCGGAACCTCCAGCAGATGCGCTGCTGACTCACCATTCCCCTTTGCAAGGCACTTCTGCACAAGAGCTGTGGATGCAGGTCTCAAGTTGGGTGGCCTGGTTTGAATCTTGGCTCTGCTTCCTTTTGCCATAGCTGTGTGCTGTTAGGCAAGTTGTTCACCCCCCTGATCTTCACTTTCCTTGTTTGTAAAGCAAGGATGACAGTGCCATCTCTGATTCCCATGGGAGTTGGGTTGGGAAGTACCGTATAACTACTCAGTACTACAGAAGTCCCTTTTATTTGGGCCATATCCATCTCCCCCCATCCCCAAAGTTAATCAGGATTTCACTAGCATCTCATTCTTCTTTCCTCTTTATAGGTTAGGTGTTGGCCTGAGGTCCTGTCCCCATCAGTGACATTTAAGGGAGAGACTGTGGGATTTTCATCTCTGATGAAAGAGAACAGTAGAAAGTCCTACAGCTTCTACTCTCTTCTCGATCTTTGGGACTCTGTCTTTGAGGACTGGGGCTGCAGTAGCCATCTTGAGATCATGAGGGAAGACACTGTTCATTGTCCTTCCAGGAAAGGCCTTCCTACCACTTCTCAGGAAATTTATGTTCTCCCAATCCAAATTGAAGAAAAATCTGGGAAGAAATTGAGAAAAAAGAGAAACGTATTATAATTCTCTGGAGAACTATACTTAACAATATGGAGAGGTTATTAGCTCCACGGAATCCACTGACATCTAGTCAAGTACAAGGGCAGAAAACACTGACACATGCGTTCGAGTTAAGGTTGACAGTTCCTGAAAGAGAAAGGAAGCATGTGGGCGAGGACCAGCCACCCTGGAACCAGTTGGTCTTGCTTGCCAAGATGCCCTGTTAGAAGTGCCTGCTCTTGGCCTGCCTCAGCCAGCAGTGAGTCATTCTTGCAAACAAAATAAATATTCATGAGGTTATGCACATGCCATGCTGCATACAAATCTTATGACCCATCTCCTAAGAAATAAGCAAATTATCCTGAAGTCAGCATTTTCAGTGTGTGAGTCTGTGTGGTACTGTTGACCTTGCAAAGAGATCTAAATGTTACATTATCCCACCCAGTAGTAATACTTGCTGGCATTTTCCAGGATCTGAACATTTACTGTAGGCTACAGTTGTTTTGTGTGCGTGTGTGTGTGTGTGTGTGTGTGTGTTGCAGAAAAAAATAGTTTCACCATTAAAACAGTGGATGAGCTTTGAAAACATTATGCTAGGTGAAATGGGCCAAAGCCAAAGAACAAATATTGCGAGATTCCACTTGTATGAAGTCCCTAGAATAGGCAAATTCACGGAGACAGGAAGTGAAATGGTGGGTGCTCAGGCTGGGGAGGGGACAGAGGAGGGACAGTGACTGTTTAGTGGTGACAAAGCTTCAGTTTTGCAAGATGAAAAGAATTCTAGAGAGGGACAGGGGTGATTGCACAGTGATATGAATGGCATTAAATTGTTTAGTGACACTGAACTGTTCACTGAAAAATGATTGAGTTGGGAGGCTGAGACAGGAGGATCAATAGTTCAAGTCCTGCCTGAGCAACTTTTTGAGACTCAAAAAAGGACAGGGATATAGCTCAGTGTGAAGACCCTAGATTCAATCCCCAATACCACTAAAAATAAAAATAATTTTAAAAAGATTAAGATTAACTGTTTGTGCCTGCCTGGCATTCTCAAGGTCCTGAGTTTGATCCCTGGGACCAAAAAAAAGATAAACTGGTTGTGGTGGCATATACCTGGAATACCAGCTGCTCTGGAGGCTGAGGCAGGAGGATTGTGAGTTTGAGACAAGCTTGAGAATTTAGCAAGACCCTGTCTCAAGAAAGGGGAGGGGGTTAGGCTAGAGGACAGGGTTAAGATGGGAAGTTTTATGTCATACATATTTCAACACACACACACACACACACACACACACACACACACACACACACACCGCAACGTATTTTCTTCCTGTTCCCCAACTTGAAAACACTTTTGGACACTCTCTTAAGGCATTTTTCTACAACTAGAGTGTTTGTTATGAAGCAAAGATCAAGACTATCAGATTGAACAACTCATCTTTTAAATGCTAGAGAACCTCTGAAACTGTTTCTTATGTTCATCCATTATTACTTTTAAAAATGTGAATAC